TAATACATGTAGCGTGTTTAATCTATGTAACTTTGAACTTATATTTTGGGCTTTATCTATAGCTTTTTTGTATCTTGCATGAAATAATGAGACAATGTTGTAATAACGACATGGTTCAACCATCTTTTTGTATATTTCCCACAAAGCATGGCCCACAAATGGAACAAAAACAGACTAGAGTGTTCAACAATAGAGCTCTCTGAACATACCGCATTATGCAAATTTGAGAAGAGACTGTCTATTTAGGGAACAATAGACCTTTTTACCTTCTGGCTGGATAGTTGAAGACGTAGTCTCCGTATTTTGCCCTCGTATAGAACTGAGTGGCTTAGAGCACATGAGACCATGTGGACCTCCATGATGGCCCTCTGGAACATCAGGTTGCATCCTTTCACTTTGCAAGTTACAATCTTCAGTGGACTTGAACTCAAGTGAAATGCAACCCGACTCCTGCAACCATAAAAGTACACAATCCAATTTTGTTCAATACATAAAGTTAAATCTCACAAAGCAAAGAATGAATGCATGTTACAAATGCGATTGTAACTGGATAGACTCTGGAACGAGGTGGGAACATTTTAGTTCTTTTTCCCGGCCAAACTACAAAGTCCAAACCTTGAACAAAAAAATAGCTTTACTTACTCACAATAATTTTACCCCTTTACTAATAGTGGGACTACACTGCCATGGTTAAATTCGTAGAGGAGTTTAGACTGCTCACAGGCCTCTATTTTCTCATATTTTGATCGTTGAATGCGTGGATAGAATCACGAGACAACTGGACGCCAGTGCAAAACGAAAGACTTGACTGGGTAGTAGATGGGGACCAAGCTGCTCGCTTCACTCGGTAACCTCACACCCNAAAAAATAGCTTTACTTACTCACAATAATTTTACCCCTTTACTAATAGTGTGACTACACTGCCATGGTTAAATTTGTAGAGGAGTTTAGACTGCTCACAGGCCTCTATTTTCTCATATCTTTATTTGATCGTTGAATGCGTGGATAGAATCACGAGACAACTGGACGCCAGTGCAAAACGAAAGACTTGACTGGGTAGTAGATGGGGACCAAGCTGCTCGCTTCACTCGGTAACCTCACACCCTACTCCCACGTGCTTCGCGCTCACTTTGCTCCCTGTTTTTTTTTCCGTGCTTGAATAGAGAGGATGTGCACAGTATAGCAGGACTACTCTCTTAATGATAAAGTCTCCACCCTCCATTAAAGTACAACTGTGTATGTATTTTTAAAAACATTGGATAACACAAAGAAACTCAAGGTAATTGAATTACCAAAGTAGCTTCTCGTTGCAGCCAAGGGGGCATGATATTTTAGCCCTACTGGGGCACTGCCGGTTATTGTCTTCGGCCTCTCCCAGTTGCCCTTTCCATCCACAATCCTTGTTCAAGCATTGAACTTCTAAACTGCTTGTAACCCTGTCCATTGCATAGCTAACTGTTAGTGCCTCTCTGCCAAAGTGCTTTCAGTATTCAGGGCAAAGTGCGATAGTTTTGTTTTTTTGTTCCTTTATCTCAAGAAGTCTCCTGTAGCAATTCATACATGCCAAACGCCCACATTGCAAAGTTACTGGTTTCATCATTATGGATTTGCTGAAAACAAGAAAGCAAAATCACAGTCTAATCTCAATGAATACTACATGGTGTGGAAATCCCTTTCTTTGCCATGCAGTCCAACCTCTATTAAACGGCCACCCCTATAAGGCGGCTAATATACCAGTGAGGCTTTTTCTATTTTTCTTCCTCTGTTACCCCTTTTAAGTGGCCACTATCCATTTCCCCGAAGGTGGCTGTTAAATGGGGTTTGAACTGTTTTATTTCTTCACAAGATCTTGCATATAAATGTGTGCTCTTTTCCCCAGTTACATTTGCTTCTTTCATGGATTGCCATTTTAGGAGGGTTGTTACTTTCGGAACTTACATTTTGTAATATAGTTCAAAGTGTTTGCGTGTGAGTGTTCATGCAAAGGTGGGTGATTCATTGAATCAATTGAACATCTATGGACTCTATGGAATTGAGTTTGAAGTTTCGTACTCACTAGAGAAAGCTGCAATACCTTATAATGTCA